CTCGCTCACCCCCACCGACCCGCCTATGGTTACAGACAAAAGTACAGAGGATATCTACAACAAATACAGGAAACTATGTGCACTAGCTTAAGGAGAAATTCGCCAAAACGGATCAACACTTAGTCAGACGGATACGCAACGAACTCAGACTCTCGGCTGCATCTCTGCTGATATGCGGTAGCGTGGCCGAGGTTGCGTCCCCAGGGCCTCGGCCAGTGCTGCGTCTCTCGATGGTCAGCCCGTTGGCGATCCTGACACCCGCCTCATGTCCCCTGAACGGATTATTCAGCTCAGCGGCTCTGTCGACAAAAACACCGGCAGTGTTTTAGCCGCTCCGAGACGTCTCTTCCGGGGATCACGATCAGGCGCCTTCCCAACTCAGAACCTCATCGAAGAACAGCGTGCCCATGCATTACGTGAGAGAATATCTGAGGATAAAAAGAGCAATCCCAGGACGAAGGAACCCCACGCCTATGTAACCCCACAACCACCCAATGCCCTACGCACAAAACACCAAGACCGCCCCAACTGATCGCGCTGTACGCGAGGGTTTTACCAAAACTCGGCTTGGCTCGGCCGGCGTCATACACAAGCCGCAAAAAAATTTTTTCTGCCGATTGCAGGTAGGGCTGCCCGACGGCGGATGGCGGCAGTTTGAATGTGGGAGGTGGAAGTGGGGTGGTATGTGGCGGGTTTCGTTCGAGGTGCGGGAGGGGTGCTAGAATAGGTGGACTAAATAGCGTAGATCCTTTGCCGATTGACTAACGTAGATTTGAGGAGAGAGGGGAGCGGCGAAGAATGGAAAGGATGAAGAAGTGTGCTCCTGGGACTTCCGTTTTTATGAAACTGATGCTTAGGTGAAGCTGTTTCAGAAAAACCCGTCATTAGGCTTCTTTATTTATGAAGTTGATGTTTAAGGAAAGTTGTTCCACAAAAAGAGCTTATGCGAATAGGATTTGCCTTACAAAAACCTGTCTTCAGTAAGCGGTCCCCGCATTTCTGATGTTTATGATTAGGTGAAGCAGAGGGCAAATAAGTTCGACTGAATTTACTAAAGCTTATGCTTAGAGAAGATGAGGACAAACAAGATCGACTGGATTACGCAGGAATTGCAGACAATTCCACAGTGTTGCCTTTCGCAGCTTGCAACTGTGCACAACAGTTACACTTTTGTTTTATGCGTTTTTTGCAGCTATGCAATGCAGAAAATGCATATAGACGAGGGGTTCTATGTGTGTGTATGTATGTGTGTGTCTGTGTGTCCGTGTGTGCGTCTCTCACGGTTTTTCATCTCAAGACCTACAAAAGCTACAGCGTTGAAACTTTGGGAACTTAATCTACATGCACGTACGGGCCCCAGTCCCCAAAATGGGCGCCATTACCCGCGTGGTACCCACGTAAGAGCCCGCCAAAGTTTTTTACGAGTAGGCTGTTAACTCGGGAAGCTGAAATGCTTGGGGGCTGAAATTTTAAGGGGATGTTTCGCGTCCAAGTAGATATTAACGAGGTCAAACTCAGCCCTCGGGGTAAGCGTGGTGCCCGCGTGGGGGCCCGCCAAAATTTTTTTCGGATAAGTTCATAACTCGGGGATCTGGGAAGCTAGAATGCTGAAGTCTCAAGGTCTTAAGAGGATGTTCCCAGTTCAAGTGGGTATTAATGAGCTCAAATCCAGCCCACGGGTAAGCGTGATTCCCGCGTACGGGCCCGCCGAAATTTTTTTCGAGTGAATTGATAACTCGGGAATTTGAAAAGCTAAAGGACTGTAATTTTAGGAGGATATTCCTCGTTTACCTAAGTCTCATTTAGCTCAAACCCAGGCCTCGGGCATGCGTGGTACTCAAGCACAGGCTCACCAAAGTCTTTCTCGGGTAGGTTGCTGACTCGAGAACTTGAAAAGCTAGAAGACTGTAATTTTAAGAAGATGGTCCCCGTTCACGTAAGTCTCAGCAAGCTCAAACCCAGACATCGGGTATGCGTGTTACCCACGTACGGACCCGTGAAAGTTTTTTTCCAGTAAGTTGCTAACTCAGGAGCCAGGAAAGCTAGAAAGCTGAAATTTTGAGGGATGTTTCCTGACATTTCTTGCGGCCAGTCTTAATTTGTTTGGCTGGAAACGTTTGGCAAAAAAACCGGTGTCGGTAGCGACAAAAACTACGGGGAGCTATGCAAAAAACGCATCTTCGCACGGGCAGACCGTGCGCTGGCCAATTATTTTGAAGACATAATAATTGCATCCATTCTGCCCTGTTTTTGCCCGCTTCATGGAACTTATTCTCTCTCAGCTTTATTTAAGCATCAGTTTCATAAAAATGGAAGTCTCCTACTGATGACGGGTTTTTATTGGCCAGTTTCCACTAGTAAAATCTTAGTTTCTTTTGCTTTTATTCATAGTGTCAGAATTGCTTTAATTTACTTTTATTTGCGTGTGCAGTGTTGTCTTTTTTTCTTTACTGCTGTCTCCAGTTTTTGCCTCGGGTTCCATCCCCGTCCCTCTTCTCTACTCTGTCCCAAATCCTGCTAGCAAAAAAGAAATAGACGTTTTTCCATCCGTACTATAGCATCACTATTCAAGCAAACAGTAATTACCATTCCCTACCCCAGGTATCTACGGTAAAAACCAGGAGCACACTTTCTCATCCTTTCCGTTCTCCACCGCTCCCCTCTTCCATCCAAATATGCGTTACTTAGTCGACCGACAAAACGTCTACGCCATTTATTCCTTATGTCCGCTTATCTCAGCCCCCTCCCCTGCCTCGAACGAAGCCCCCCACATAACACCCCCACTCTCACCTGCCACATCCAAGCTGCTTCCATCCGCCGTGGGGCAACCCAACCAGTCACCAGGACAAAAAATTTTTTGCAGCTTATATACGAAACGAGCCGAGCCGAGTTATTATGCGTTTTTGCCGTGCAGCGCTAGAGCGCTGCAACAGGCAACAAAAACGCATATTGCAACGACTCTGGCAGTGTGTGTGTGTGTGTGTATGTGTGTGTGTATGTTTGTGTGTGTGTTCGTCTGTCCGGGTATTTCAACTCGCTAACCACGCAAGCTTTGAAGCTGAAATATTGCCAGTGTGTTTCTCAGCCAGATACCATCCCAGGACCGCAGTTTCAGCCCTCACGCACGTCTGGGCCCCGCGTAGAGCAAATGAAAGTTTTGGCGTGAAAACCGCTAACTCGGGAACGAGAAAGGCTAGAAAGCTGAAACCTTGGGAGAATGTTCCCTACCCATATACGACAAAAAGGTTTCAAATTCAACTTCCTAGGAGTGCCCGGGGCATATTTACGGGCACGTGAAAATTATGGCGGGAAAATTCATAACTCGAAAATGAGAAAAGCTGGAAAATTGAAGCTTTGGGGTAATGTTCCA